AACTAACATAGAAAAAATAAGGAAAATTTTGAAAACCAACAACTACCGCGACTACTTAGTACGCGAACTATTAAAACAAAAATTAATGCAAATAGATAGTCACCGAAATAAAACAGAAATCTTAAAAGCAACAAATACAGCAAAACAATATCACAGCGTTACCTACATACCTAAGTTAAGCGAAAACTAGCCAACTAGCCAAAGCCCGAAACATAACTTTTGCATATAAATCAAACTCCACCTTATCCTCAGTTTATACAAAAACAAAAAGCCCAATTGACTCCCAACAGAAAAGCAATGTTGTGTATGAAATACGATGTAAAGGCAACGAAAGTGAAGCCTGTGACAAGGGGTACATTGGAACAACCAAGCGAGCTCTAGGTACCCGGCTAGCAGAACACGAAGCAGATATAAAAAAAACGAAAAACAAACACAGCACTAGCACAACACATAGTAAGCCGTGGACACACAGCTGATTTTAAAAACACAAAAATAATAGACCAAGAGAAAGGGGGAAGAACTAGGTACACGCTGGAGAGTCTAAGAATAATGGAGAAAATATGACATTGCCGCAGCTTATATTTTATGTTTACAAAATTAATTTAAAACGTTTTCAGTCCTGACTAAACTACCACACAAGCTGGTATTGGATTCTTAGCAATTAAGTTTTTAAAATGTTTAAGTGTTAATCTGTGAGTATTGTCTTGTATCGAGTTAGAATTGTTTGTTTACATATATTATTGTCATCAAACTATATGTATATGTGAATACATACATGTATGTATCACGGTGCAGCGAACAGAGGTGGCGCCGTTAGTGGTACCGCTACTTTGGTTTTGCCGATTTTGACAGTAGTGGTAACTTGTAAACAAACCTTTGTTTACAAATCAGCGAAATAGAAATTTAATTATATGTGAAAAACCAGTTTAAATTGTGTTAATTTGCAATTTAAGAGTGATTTTTGAGTTGAAGACTGCGTAAAAACTAATAAAATGAAGTGCTGTGTGATAAATTGCGACAGCCTTCAAGATGCAAGATGCGTAGATGCAAGTGTAGCGCTGGGACGAATCGCTGCATTTTGTGTACATAGGGCACGGCAAAGCCGTTCCCGAAATGTTTCTTTATTATTACATTAACAGAATTTCCTCACAATGATTTTGCTTCTGCTCCAAGCAGCCTCCATTAGCAAGTTAACTAATCAATCCCGCGGAGATGCTGCCGCAGTCTTAATTGCAAAGCAATGGAGTGCACTAAAACGTTTGCTGAAGCAGCCTCAATTGCAAAGCAATGGAGTGCACTAAAATGTTACCTATTCTCTAATAGATTAGGTGAAAAATGCAATATTTTCGCGTTTAGCAAAATTAAAACACGTTTTTCGCTGTAAAGTGAACTGCTTTGGAAGTTTTAACTCGTTCTTCTTTTCGCTCTATTCTTTGTTTACTTGTGGTACACAAATGTCAACGCCCAGGACGGCGCAATCTTGTATTCTATCATTCTTGTGTATGTATGTATGTTCTTGTTTGTGTTTTTCTGCTTTTAATGTTCCTTTTATATTTTGTATTTATGGCTGTAATAGACAAAAATAAACAACGCGCCCGTGATGATGCTAATATGTTTAGCGAAACGTTGGGCTGTAATAGTGGAATAAACTTATTTTATTTGCACTAGAGATAATCAGATCGGACTAGCCTATAAAGGAAATTTTATTAAATATATTTGCTTTAATTTTTGGTTCAGCACTTTTTATAACGTGGTAAATGGAGCGTCCCAATTAAATCCGCGGAATATGGATTTGAAAATTTTCAGTAAGAGAAAAAAATCACAAACACTTTTCACTGTTATATACGTGGTGAAATATACGTATGTGTAAATATTTAATGTGATATAAATAATTATGTAAATACTGAAAAAGTATTGGCAAATGCAATTTGTAAGTTTTCCCTACTGGGTTGCATGTATCTAAATATCTTGAACTCCTTATTATGTTATGGATAGTATTCGAGTGATACTATTCTTTGTCACAGCAGTGGTGAGTTAAGACCCGAAAACAACAGAGTTTGTTTTGATTATAGTGTATGTAAGTATGTGCAAATATTTACATATGAAGCCGAAGCTATGGCTAAGCTACGCTTTGTCACCGCAGTGGTGAGTGAAGAAGTACGAAAAAACAGAAAGTTTGTTTTGATTACAGTGCGTATGAATGTATGTGTGCGGGAATGCACAAGTGGATATGATAATACGTAAAGAGCCGCTCACCGCTGAGGTGAGTTCTTGGTACCGAACGTATTCAAGTCGGAGAGCGGGCTTTGACTTACGTTCTCTTAGCTTGGTGAGTGCAGCAGAGAAAAGCGAGGTGGAAAGATATGAAATAAGTTAGAGTGCGTTTGGTATATGTGGACTGTATTGTCCGATGAACAACAGCGCCTCTCTTAGCTATTAAGCGAATAGTTGCAGAAAATGCAACTGGTAAAAAAAGCTTATATGTGCTGCCGTATGTACATATGGTTTATGTGGAAAAAATGCACTTATATTTTCGGCACTTTGTTTAGCCAAGTTCAACGAACTATGCGACCAACGGCAAAAATTGGTAAGCAGAGGAAAGTATTTGATTTTAATGTGCTAATATTAGTTGCGTTCCAGGTGCTCACGATATTCACGATTTGCAGGTTTTTTTGCAGGAAAGCGTTCCAGGTGCCAAAAAAACCTGTAAGTCAAACCACTTTTTTGGGAGTGAGGGGTGACTTTTCATAAAGCGGCGTTCATCCTCCTTCGTGCAGGGGGTTTGGGGAGCCACGCCTTCTCCCCCTCTGCACACACCCCTAAATCGTTGTACAAATAGCTAAAGAGACAATCAAATAAATACGTCAAGTATTGCATATGTATGAGATTGGCCCGAAAACGTTCAAATAAACTCGTTAATTAAACAAACAATTTATTTTTCTTGTCCGCGCACTTGCTCACCACGACGATCAAAAGGCAAGTGCGCTTGTTTTTTGTCAAGCATAATGCGAGACGGTTGATAAAGATATTTGATCGTCTCCATGGCACTTCACATTTAAAAAAAAGGAAGTAGTTACAGGAAAAGTGTTTTTTTGCGTTCCAGGTGACCTTTATTGTTTCGCTCTCGCTCCTCTCTTTCAAGAGAGTAATTTTGATACTTGACAGTTTTACAGGTTTTTACACGAAGTTATCTGGAACGCAACTATTTTGTTCTTGGACAGTGGGACACAGTAGGCATATAAACTGCAACGGAATTTATTTTGGTGTAAACATCAGAATTTTTATATATGTACATATACCCATATATATATAAGATTGACGGTATATGGAGATATATCGCTTTCCGGAAAACGGAATTTTCCTACCAAAATTTTAATAGCGGCAAATTGCCGATGTGAAATTTTTGGGCGGCAGGAAAATATCCGCAATTTTAATAGAACCGTTTTTTGCGAGAAAAAATACGCCTTTTATTAAATTATATATATATATTTATGTATGTATATGTATATACGTATGGCTGTCCGTTTGCAATTTCTTTGAAATAATATAACTTGTAAGAGAATAACGTTATATTATTTTAATTTTTTAAGAAAATTAAAAAACTTGCCTACTTACTACTTTCCTTGTATTTTTGTAGATATGTATGTTAGCTTCTTGGTCTTGTGCCTGGTTTTGTTGTTGCCGCTGATGATGATAAAGGCTGCTAATGCTGTTGATGGCTGCTAATGTTGATTGTTGATGCTGTAGTTGTTGTTGTGCTTCTTTGGGGCACAGCTTCACTCCAATGGTTCTTTTTTGTCAAAAAAATTTATGTATTTAAATTTTTTTATTTATTTTGTTTTCTGTTTTTTTTATCAAAAAAAGTTTTCTTTTACAGAGTTGCTGTGTTGTTTTTTTCTTCACGGTTACATACAAATATATGTATGTATGTTTACTTGCACTTTCAATGCTCGCACTTGGTTGCACTTTGTTTATTGTGTTTTTTTGTACGGAATTGTTTTTATATTAGGGTTTTCGCGGACGTACGAATACGGATTGTTTTATTTTTATTTTTAAGTTATAAAATTTTATTTTCTTAGGAGCTGGGCCACGGTTGGCTGCGGAGGACCATGAATACTTCCGGTCGCTTGGTCCCTTCGCACTCACCTCTTTACGCACTTTATTTCCAATTAAAGAAATGCTTTAGGTTCGGTTTTAAGTTGTACAAAAGTTAAGTTTATTCACAAGCTTTAAAAGTTTCAAGGATTCGCTCAATATATTTATTCGGCTTCCACACAATAACAAAGTTCAGTTTAGTAGTATATGTACACATACATATATCCGGGGGTTCACTTATTAAAAAATGATTTAAACAGATTGGCAAAATATGAATTTAAAAATTATACTTTGAATGGGGCGCGTGCGCGTAGACCGACGTTTATTGTTGGACTAGCTTTTGCCATCTTTTTCATGATGATGGTAGGCGGCCGTGCGCGCTCGGTAATCATTTTCGGAGTTGACGTAGGTCAACTGCCAAACTGCTGCGGCCAAGGATTGCGCGCACGGCCGTCGTATTGCGCTAAAAGCGGCGGCTTAAACAATTGGATCTGAATCACCTACGAATGAAGTGATCCGCTCTCAAAATTTTGTATGGCGAGTCATGTGATTCGGTTCGTAATTGGGGCGCCAATCACGAATTAGAGCGAGTTACGAATGGGAGAGCGAATCACTTGGCGTGGAAACATCGTTTACTGTCTATACCATGAACCAACGACTACAGATCACCTAATCAGCCATCGTTGTATTTGTAATCGATTTCCAGAAAAAAGTTTTCGTAGCGTTTTTTACGTTTTTCGGTTTTGTTTACACCGTCTTCTACCTCTTCGTAGTGATTTTTTAGGGATTGAATGTGTTTTCTGCAGCGATTTTAATTATAAATTTTGGTTTATTACATCTTCTTCTTCTTCTTTTTTAGCGCTGTAACCGCCGAAGCGATTTTAGCCGAGTTCAGCAAAGCACGCCAGTCGTTTCTCCTCTGTACCAACTGACGCCAATTGGAAACGCCAAGTAAAGCCAAGTCCTTCTCGACCTGATCTTTCCATCGCAGTGGGGGTCTGCCTCTTCCTCTGCTACCACCAGCGGGTTCCGAGTTGAATACTTTCAGAGCTGGAGCGTCGGTGTCCATTCGAACGACATGACCAAGCCAGCGGAGCCGCTGTATTTTAATTCGCTTCACTATGCCCATATCGTTGTAAAGCTCATACAGCTCATCCTTCCATCGTCTGCGATACTCGCCGTCGCCAACGCGTAAAGGTCCGTAAATCTTCCGCAAAATCTTTCTCTCGAATACTCCAAGAGCCGCCTCATCGGATGTTGTCATTGTCCATGCATCTGCGCCATAAACCAGCACGGGCATGATGAGTGACTTATAAAGCGTGGTTTTCGTACGTCGAGAGAGGACTTTACTCCTGAATTGCCTACTCAGTCCAAAGTAGCACTTGCTGGCAAGAGTGATTCTGCGTTGGATTTCCATGCTGACATTATTATCGGTGTTAATGCTGGTTCCCAAGTAAACGGAATTCTGTACTTTCTCGAAATTGTAACTGTCAACAGTGACGTGGGTGCCAAGGCGCGAATGTGCTGACTGTTTGTTTGATGACAGGAGATACTTCGTCTTGTCCTCGTTTACCACCAGACCCATTCGCTTTGCTTCCCTATCCAACTTGGACAAGGCAGAACAGACTTCGCGGTTTTTGTTACTGATGATGTCGATGTCATCGGCATAAGCCAGCAATTGCACGCTCTTGTAGTAAATTGTTCCTGAGCGGTTCAGTTCTGCAGCTCTTATTATCTTCTCTAACATCAGGTTAAAGAAGTCACATGAAAGGGAGTCGCCCTGTCTGAAACCTCGTTTTGTGGCGAACGGCTCGGAGAGGTCTTTTCCAATTCTGACGAGCTGGTGGTATTACTCAACGTCATTTTACACAGCCGTACGAGTTTTGAGGGGATGCCAAATTCAGACATAGCGGCGTATAGGCAACTCCTTTTAGTGCTGCAAAAGCGGCTTTAAAGTCGACAAATAGGTGGTGAGTGTCGATCCTTTTCTTGCGGGTCTTTTCCAAGATTTGGCGTATCGTGAATACCTAGTCTATGGTGGATTTTCCAGGTCTAAAGCCACACTGATAAGGCCCAGTCAGTTCATTGACGGTGGGCTTCAGTCTTTCACACAATACGCTCGATAAGACCTTGTAACCTATGCTTAGAAGGCTGATCCCGCGGTAGTTGGCGCGAATGGCGGGGTCACCTTTCTTGTGGATTGGGCAGAGCACACTTAAATTTCAGTCCTCGGGCATGCGTTCATCTGACCATATTCTGCACAAGAGTTGATGCATGCACCTTATCAACTCGCCGCCGTACTTGAATAGCTCAGCTGGCAGGCTGTCAGCTCCAGCAGCTTTGTAGTTCTTCAGCCGCGTTATTGCTATACGTACCTCGTCATAGTCAGGCGGTGGAACGTCGACTCCGTCATCATCGACTGCGGGCTCGGGTTCTTCTTCTCCACAACTTTCCGTGCTGCTACCATTTAGTAGGGCGGAAAAGTGTTCCCTCCATAATTTAAGTACGCTCTGGCCATCAGTTACTAGGTCGCCATTATTGTTCTTACAGGAGGGCGCCCCGGTCTCTAAACCTTCCGTAAGTCGCCTAACTCTCTGGTAAAATTTTCGGGCATTCCTCCTGTCGGCCAGCATTTCAAGCTCTTCGCCCTCACGTATTTCGGCCTCTCTCTTCTTATTGCGACAAATACGTCTCGCTTCCCTCTTCAGATCCCTATAGCGGTCCCACATAGCGCGCGTTGCGCTCGACCGCAGCGTGGGCCTGTAGGCGGCATCTTTTTTCTCTGCAGCTTCCTGACACTCCTCATCGCACCAGTTGTTCTTTCGGGCTCGTTGAAATCCTACTACTTCTTCGGCGGCGGTACTTAATGAGCGGGAAATGTGGTTCCACTGCTCGCATATGTCGGTTTGTTGAAGAGTGCTCTCTGAGAGCAGGTGTGAGAGTCGAGTAGCGAAAGCGCTGGCTGTCTGTTGTGATTGCAGCTTTTCGACGTTAAGCTTCCCTTGCATATTTGGGCGCACCTATTTTGCTGCACAGAGGCGGGTGCGTATCTGGGCTGCAACATGATAGTGGTCCGAGTCGATGTATGGGCCTCGGAGTCTAAAACACTGGAAGCGTGCCTTCCGTCTATCACAACATGATCGATTTGGTTTCTCGTTTTTCGATCCGGAGACAGCCATGTAGCTTGATGCATCTTTTTATGCTTGAACCTAGTACTGCATACTACCATGTTTCGGACCCCGGCGAAGTCGATCAGCCTCAATCCGTTGTCGGACGTTTCGTCGTGGAGGCTGAATTTTCCGACGGTGGTTCCAAAGATCCCTTCCTTGTCCACCCTGGCATTGAAGTCGCCAAGCACGATTTTGATCTCATGACGGGGACAGCGCTCGTACGTGCGCTCCAAGCGCTCATAGAAGAGATCCTTGGATGCCTCATCCTTCTCTTCCGTCGGGGCATGGGCGCAGATGAGCGAGATGTTGAAGAATCTCGATTTGATGCGGATTGTGGCTAGACGCTCGTCCACCGGGGTGAACGGCAGCACTCGGCGACGGAGTCTTTCTCCCACTACAAATCCAACTCCGAATTTGCGCTCCTTTACATGGCAGCTGTAGTAGACGTCGCAAGGCCCCAGACATTGTTTGCCTTGCCCCGTCCAACGCTTTTTTTGGATGGCGGTGATGTCAGCTTTTGTCCTTACGAGGACATCAACCAGCCGGTCAGAGGCACCTTCCCCATTAAGGGTCCGGACATTCCAGGTGCATGCCCTCAAATCGTAGTCCTTTAATCGTTTGCCGTGGTCGTCATCATAAGGGGGGGTCACATCCGAGGCTTTGCCTTGCTTCTTCACTGGAAGTGGTTTTTACGTGGCGGGTCCCAAGCCCAGCGCACAACCCATTGCTGGGACGGGGGTGGTTTCGCAACCAAATACACGTTTATATAGCGAGCCGCTTGCTCCAAGCAGACACCCGCTTGCAGCCGCACCTACTGGTGAACAGACGCTGCAGACTTCAGTGAGCCCTTAAACCAAATAAGTCGGAGTGGCCCCACCGAAGCTCCCTCTCTTTCTGCCGTGACACAAGGCTCCACTCGGATTGGTTACCGCATCTCGCACATGGGTTGCTCACGTTGCCCAGAGTGCGCGAACGAGTACGCAAGAGTCGGGATTGAGTATAGCCATGCAACTGTAACTGCATACCCAGCGCAACGACTATACCCCATTGCACTCCATTACAAATTTATGATATAAAATGAAGTGCTGTGTGATTGGAACAAGTTTGTGCGTATGTTTGGTTTGCCAAAAGGCGTAAATTTGCGTGAAAAGTGGGTGCACGTTCGTGGCCAGAACGTTGGCATTGAAAAATCGACCCGTGGTAATGATATGCGATCGTAAAACACTTCCAATCATGAAAACCATATTTTATGAACTTTTTTTGCTAATTGTTATCAAGTTTGACTTTGTATATTTTATAATAAATACCAACTTATTCGCACTCAATAACCGCGCCTTTTTCGTGTTCTTTGTTTGCTTTCATTCTTAGGCAGATGTCGAAATCCCTGAGAAATATACTTTTTTTTCTTGCATATTTGATTAGGTGATCTTGTATTTTTGTTGGTGGTTCGTTGGAGTAGATATTTCATGTATAATCGTGCAAGACTTCGATATTTTCGATGCATCCATTACAGTAGCTACACACGACGAG